ATTTATCTTATTAAATATTGATATTTAAATTTAAAAACTAATTAAAATTTTAAATTTTAAACTAAAATTTATAATTTCTAAATATAAATTAAGATTATAATTTTTTAAAAGAAATCAAGATTAAAAAATATTATTTTTTAAATATTAGTTATTTAAAAAAAAAAATTTTGAACATTTTATCATGAGGTCGGCTCGAATCGTTGTTCTGATGGAGGGGATATGAACCTTACAAACGTAGTTAGAGCCATTTAGTCCGAAAGGTCAAGTTTAGTTATTTTTTAAAATTAAATAAAAATTAAAATAAAAATTTAATAATCTTTAATAATCTTAACAGATTGATTGGTCGACATGAGTATGGCCTTTCAATAGTCCACTTACTAAAGCTTTATTACACTGTGAGTCTGTGACGCTGAAGTTGCTCACACGTGTTGTGTCGACCAGATTCCTCACTCGTGTCAGAAACACTTTACTACGAAGCCTGAAGTCACCCAACCCACTTAACCCCCGCCTTCTCAGCCGCTGTTTACGGCGGCATTTTGTCTGCACTTTTCACAAATCAGTGTTCACAAATTTTTTTATTAACGTTTCAAAATCTAAAAATTATATTAAATTTTAATTAATTTAAAATTAAATGTCATTAAAATAATTTTTTTAATATTTATTTTTTTATTCATAAAGATTAAACTTAAAATTTTATAAAAATTATTATTATTTTTTAATTTAAACCGACAAATGATTGGTATCAGTGTCTACCATAGATTGTGGTGAAGCGCTTCCTAATTCCTGGTGTCGGCAAAAATTCGCAATAAATGAAAGATTAAAATTGACTGAAACTATAATTGCTCTGCACTGGGGTTGATTGAATTTTAGGTTTTTTTTTTTATTAAAACTTAAATTAAATCAATTTTAAACCATTTGAATTTTAATTGTTAGATTTGAAAATTGAAAAATTTATAATTAAGTATGTATAGTTGAAAAAGTAGTCCAAAAACCTTTTTATATGAATTTTTTAAAATAATTTTTAGATTTTTTTAAAGCTCTTCTTGTCACTTTTCACTAAATTATTTATGAATTAATTTTTTTTAGGTTTTT